GTGGCAATCAATCCTTCTGCAAGAGCACTACAGAAAATGACTTCTGCAGAAGTTTTGCTAGTGCTGGCCACTATCTTCTAGGAGCCCTTGACTTAATGGAAAAGTCAAAGAAAAATGCAGCTCTTGCTTTGGATATGGCTCTAAGCAAGGCGAGCTGCAGCCAGTCATCACCTGCATAGGAGCAGAATACAGTTTGACAAAAACAACTGAAGTGCTGCTTATGCGAGCAATGAATCCATCGGATGCCTATTGACAAAAACTCAGCTATGCGAGGGGTTGTGGACTTAGTGCAACTGCCCTTACCCTCCGTTCTTGTGTAGTTAGAAAAACCCATGCTAACAAAGCTTACTAAGCTGGGATGCCAGAGAACTCCACGTAGCCTGCAGAACTTGCTTAGGACAGGAGTTTAGAAGTTGAAGGGTTTCTGCTCCGAGCTTGGGGACAGTTGGGTCTCTTCCCAGCGCCTCTCTGCTCATCTCTCCCCTTTACAAACTGGCTCTGTGGCCTCCGCTCTCTTGCCAGCCAAGTTGTCGTGGTTTTCCTTTTCCTCTTTGCTGAGCTCCAAGGACATGGTTAAGCAAAGTTCTGCTGCAGGGGGTGAAGACGGCCACGTCACCAGAGCGCTCCAGAGGTTCTTCTGAACTCAGGCAGAGCCTCCACATGATGAGGCATACGTAACCTTTACTTTGGCATGTTCTGACTTTTGATGACTTAACTGTGCCATGGAAACCTTCCCATGAAAAAACACCAACCAAAAAATGTGTGAGGTGACAAATTTAGTATTGAAAAGACTGTTCGAAAATAAGTCAGCAGAGTAACATTTGGTATGCACTGCCCTGCGACACGGTATTTTTATTCGTTTGGAGGTTCTCTGCTCCCTCAAATTTGCATAGGACTAATTAGGGAAGTGATGGACTAGTTGGCACAGTCAAACTGTTGTTACTGTGAGCTCTTAAAGAGAGGTTCCATGGGATTTCAGGGCAATAGATTATGACATTCCCTTAGCTGCCATTTTTGGACTCCTACCAGACAACACCATCCTCCATAGCAGAGGCGATAGCAAAGCGTTTGTCCCAGGTTCTCCAGATCAGACCCTGCTATTTTAACTCTACACCTTTGCAAGTCTGGAAATAAGGCACACATTCACAGCTTCTAAATACATAACGATGACTGACAAACTGTAGCGGACAGATGCATGAATGTTTGCCTTAAACATTTCTTGTCATTTTACAGACCCTCAGCTTGGTCAAAAATAAGACCAGTTCCTGGTCCTATGTGGCAAAATGGTAAGTGATGAATGGAATGTGGTAGAGAGGACCTGATAAACAGATGCCTCAGACAGCTCTGGCACCGAATATATGCAGGAAAGTGCGTATAAATGTGGGACATTAGACACAAGAAGTTGTGTAAGCAAGAGACAGAAGAAAGCAGACAGAAGAAAAGAAGCATGTAGACTGAGATGAAGGCACCAAGAAGAAAAGTGCAGGAGGAGAAGGAAAGATGACGGCATCCTTGAACCCTTGTTGGTGGGACCAACACAGGAACCTGGACCAGTGATCTCTGTCTCTCTCCCCTCCTCCTCTCTCTCTTTCTTTCCCTTTCTCCTTTCTCACTAATTAATGCAAGGCCTATCACACTGCTTCCTTACTTTATATTTCATTTCTGTCTTGTAATCGTTAAGTATAACACTGCCTGTTAGAAGTTGTTGCACCTCCTTTTCCCCTGTTAGCATTAAGTAACACACAGCTTGCTGTAGTTTGTTGTATACCTGGTCTTTTCCTGGCTATCATTAAGTCATAGTATATTGACTGCCCTAGTATATTGCCTGCCCTAATGTGCTTGTAACTAAAACCAATTATTGTGAGTCCGATCTATAGGTTGTGAGAAATTAATAGATGTCTGTGTATGGATCTTGAGACTTGTCTCACCGTTGTCTTCTCTGTTGGGGTGTTGCTGTGTGAAAGGTCTGTTGCTGTGTGAAAGGTCTGTGGCTGTGAGAGGCACTTACCCAAGCTAAGTGCTTACTTGTTTCAGAGCCCCCTTACTGAGTTAAGGACTTTCACTGAGACAATTTGCAAGGTAACAAAGAACAGGTAATTAATTAAAGCTACAGATACAAAATTTGGAGCTGCTGTTGATTAACTCACTCTCTGCAATAGCGCTAATATATCATAGTAATGCCAACAAAATACTACCCCAGGTATTTCTCACCAAAAGGTGAAAGTGCAATTCTTGCCAAGAAGGGGTCCCTGTCTTGGGTGAAGGAGGAGCACAGGCAGTTGACTGCCTCTTCTGGGTTTGTTCTCTCCCTCCATTGACATATCCCCTCCATGCTCCTTACATACTATCTTCAACTCACCCTGGCGGTGACATTTGGCATGATTTGAGTGCAGAGTGGGTGACTATAGTCATATAGGGATATTAAGGCAAAAAATTCTACTTTGGGCTTTGTGGCCTTCAGAATTTTGTTTTGAAGCAGCTTATCAGTTTGCAGCATGATTTCACATCATTAGTTTCCATTCGGTCTTGTTCTTTAGAATCATAGAATTGTCAGGGTTGGAAGGGACCTTAAAGATTATCTAGTTCCAACACCCCTGCCACAGGCAGCAACATCTCCCACTAGATCAGCCTGCTCCAGCCAAAACAGGGCCATCCTGGCACAAGACTCCTTCCTTTGGCTGGCTCTCACTGTGCAGGTCTTGTTGATTGCCATCCTCAGTGTCTGCACAACAGATAAGTGGACAGCTGCATTCAGCAAGTCTCAAATCCTCAGGTTGAAAAAAATCACAGGTATTATGAATCTAAATCACCTGCCTTCCTTCCCCCCCTCCGAGTGGGACGTAACACAAACCTTGATGCTATTCTACAGCAGACAATATCTAAACATGCTACCAAATTACTCTCTTCCCCCTTTGATATTAAAACAATGAAAAGACAAAAACTAAGAATCTATATCCTATGATACACCAAGCAAACTACCAAAAAGCACCAGGCTAGGCAATTGCTTTTTTCTTTCCTTCTGTGCCACTCCCACAGTCTGAACAATTTGCAAGACCTCTCCAGCTCACCAGTCTGTGTTTAAGGAGCATTGCAGTGCTGTCACCTAGCCTGCAACAGGTGCTGTCACATTTGCAAGATTAAAATAAGCCTTTTCACGTATGTTGTAAAACCTGATACATTCAGAATAAAAGGTATGATTCCCAGGAAGAAAGTTTTTTGATGACTACTAAGGGACCTTTTAAGTTTTCTATCACTTTCACTATCCGTAGAAAATAGAAATTTCCCTGAAATAGTTTGCATAAGAAGTTAAAAGCAAATTGAAGCACTGAAGTGGACAATTCTTGTACTGTTCTTAGAAAACACTTGTTAAGATCAGTTCATAGAATCAGCCTCAATCAATCTTTTCCCCTAAATATTCACCTCCCAAACAAATCTGATAAGACTGCAAAATGCTGGTTAAAAACTGGGTTGGTTTTTGAGGGAGATTTTTGTGGAGGTTTCGTTTGGGTTTTTTCATTGTGGCTTTTTGGGGGGTTTTAAGGGCAAGGTTTTACGTTTTATGCGGGGTTCTTTGCTACTGCATTCTAAAGCACTGTACTAGACTTCTAAGAAGCTTGCTGTGTTTACTCCTAGGCAAGGTTTTCTCTTGTGTGGTTGAATCCTTCAACTCTTATTTTTCCCCTTTCCTAACTACTATTCAGAAATTAAAAGAAATAAAGTACTCCTATACTATATAAAGAAAAAAATCCCCATAAACACCAGTCTTCACTTGGCAGTTATTTCATGCTGTTTACTTTTGAGCAAGAACCTGCTTGTAAAAATCCATCTCTGAAATAATGCAGAGGAAGTTAAAATTTAAGACTGAGACGTTAATTGAACATTAAGAAGACTTCAGTTTCCTGGCAAATTACTTCTTCATTCCCATAAGTTTCATATTAATTTCATATCTACCATTTTCCCAATTATCTTTGCACAGTTAATTTGGGGGGGGAAAAAAAAAAAGAGGAAATATTTCAACAAGAAGAACACCCTTTCCTAGCAAGAGCTGTTCAAAAGACATCTCACTGAATGAGAATTACTCAGCACAGCAACCCCAGGTGACGGCCACACACCCCACCGGGCTCTACATGAGTTGTGTTCATAAGACTTGATCAGTTACACAGAGCCACTGCCAGTCTTTCTGAATTATTTTCAGTATGAACGGACTGGTATTGATGACTTAATAATAGAGAGAGCACAACGTAGTATTTCACAGATAAGAACGTTACAATACACACTCAAAAAACAAAACAACAGGAAAAAATCTATTAACTTTGATGACTTCAACTTCTATCTTGAATAAATTTCAAGCCCCGATTGTTTATGCAGGGCAAACTTGTTCATATCCCTGAAATTACTGACAGTTGTAACGCAGCTGCTTTTCTGATAGGAAGGATGAGCACAGGATTAACCAGGATGTAACGATAATTTTTTTTATATACAAGGAGAGTCAAATTTAAAAAGAAGAAACTACAATGAATCCACAAGAAATGTGGAACCACAAGAACTCTTCTGGAAGACACCCGGCGAAGTGGAAATACATCCAGTCTCTTCAACTATTTTAGAAGTTCATCCACTGTGAAGCTTTTTCTTCTATCTAGGTACTGAAGAAAGAGCATCTACTCATCAGAAATAGGTGTCACTCTCTCCACAGCTATCAAGAGCTGCGGATACTAAAGAGCGAGCTGCTGGTTGACATAGGGTGATTTAAGCACATTTTTGAGACAGTTTATCATCCTGCATAGTTGCCTGCCCTTCACCAACACAAAGAGTTAATACAGAATTAATATACTGGATGTTTTAGGATGCAAATGCTTGCTCATTTAATGCTACCATTCATCTAGAATGGCAGAAGTATAGGCCTATAAATGAAAAAAAAAAAATAAATCTTTTCCCTGAAGGATTTCACATTATGGTCCAGTTCAGATGAAACTACAAAAATAAGACTTTTGCATTGCAAGAGTAAAGAACATTTTATTAAAATGGAAGTTTGTCAAACTTCATGTATCAAAACTAAGGCCACAGCTAATGCTAACACAAAGTCAACCTCAAAAGGTTCTTACAGTATGATACAATTTAGAAATCTTATACAAAGCTATTTTACAAATGAGTACTTGAACATTCTGAAATGTAGCACTACTTGTTCTAAAATGATATAATAATTATTCTAGTTATAATATATAATGGTATACAAATTACTGAACTATCAGTGCATATAACCTGTCGTTATTTTGGTCCTGTGAGGACGGTAATTTTCTGCATTACTCCAGCTACAGAAATGAATGGAAGCACAAAACACTGTAATGGAAGCTGCCTCTCTTTTGTGCTGAGTTCGTTTCTTTTCTTCTAATGCTAAATATCTCCAGTCATAATAGCAATGAACTCTTCTTGATTGACTGTAGAAAAAAAAAGAGAAAAAAAGAGAAAATGATTAGACAAACAGCAAACATCCATAATTCATACAAGCAAATAATGCATATCTGCTTTACTAACTGGGAAACCTTTAAGTCAAAAGTGTATTTGTTGTGTCTGATCTACTACTCATCAGGATTTACAAGTTTGGATTTTTTTCTTCTAGAAAAACAGAGATTTTGCACTTTTTTTTTAAAGTGCAAGTCAGAATGCAATCATAATTATTTGGAATACTTAAGCCAGAATCTAGCTCACATATAACAATCTATTATTTCTAATTATGAAAGTAAAAACTTTCTAAAAGTAAAGAAAGAGAAAAACATCAACAAAAGTATGTAAAAAGATGGTTATGCAAAACCACACTTTATTACAAGATTTATAAAAATGTTAGACACAGTAAATAAATTTAATTAAGTAAGTGTTTTTCAAGCAGCAATACTACAGCTCCACTTACAATCAAATTCATTTTGGACATTTATATCCAAACCACCCTGCCCCCCATCAAACCATGTTATTCCTCTCTCTCAAACTTGCACCACTTGCCAAATACAAAATGAATTTTAAGACTGTTTGCTAATGATTCTATAAATTTGATAGAATTTAAATGGAACTTTGACAAGCTTTTCCCCATATGAACTTTCTTCATTCTTTAGTTATAATTAACAGACATTTTACACAAATGTACTTGAAGAAATTAAGTCATAATAATAAATTAATTAGCAGTCATTAATTATTTTGCTGCACTTATACCTGGGCTATTGACCTTACTCGTATGTTAAAACAGAGTCACTGTAAAAGAGTTAACCAATGAACATGTTCACTCTGCAACTAATTACTGTAGTGGAGAATTATCAGAATAAGTCAGTGGTATTGAAAAAAACAGATATGGATGAAGAATTCTTCCTGACAATTACCTGTCCCAGAAAACACACCCAAGCTATTCCTACACAAAGCACTGCAAAGAGCTAAATTTACAGGAGAAAATTAAACAAATTCAACTATGTTAAAGAATTAAAAATAAACCTAAACCTACCCTGTTGCAACACGTCAAAAAGTATGAAACAAGTGGATTTAGTTGGGCTTAGAACCCTCTACTCTGAAACACCAGTCCATCATAAGCACTGTGTTGTCTGTACGACTTGGAAAAGCATTTCCACAGCTCTACCACAGTAAAAGCACAAATACAAACAACCCCCCCAAAATATTTTCCAGTGTGAAACACCTTTGTTATTTAACAAAGCATTATTTTATGCTGCAAAGTGGAAATATAGTATTATAATGACAAATTTTGTAACATTCAAAAAAGCTGCAAAAAGAAGTTTCAACTCCCAGCTAATCTTCCTCAGACAGGATCTGCTCCCATGTTAAACACAATCAAACCAGAAGCAATTACGGTCTTTCCTAGAGTCAGATTTCTCTCAATCCCAAGACATAAATGATCATAAAAGGACAACCTAATATCACAGCTAACATGAAGGAAGTGTTGAGTAAGACTCTGGATACTTAAAGGAGCATACTGTTTCACACTGTGGAGGGTTTTTTCCCTAATTCTGCGCCAAAATCTGAGACCTAAGACTGGATCTTGTTTCCTACAGATGCATTCACACCAGATGTCAAAAACTGCATGAACTGAGAGCACGAAGTTTCTAAAACCAGTCATACCCCAAAATATGTTATTCCGACAATAAGGAGTATGAAAATAAGACTATTTATATTTTTAAGGCAGACAGAAATACATCAGTCAAAAATACTCTCTTCTACAGAAAGTTATGTACAGGTTACTAGTACAGCTCAGAGGTTTTGCTCAAAACCCAAGGGTTCACATAGCCTGGATACGACACAACAGACTGTATTTCACTACGAGCAAAACAATCTCTCAAATATAAGAAGGGTATTATTGCTGTATTTGAAGTAGATTAAAAATGCCATGAACTAACAGTTTCAAATTTATCTATCTTTTCAGGGTGACAGCAAGATTTTGCTACATGACCCAGATGTTTGAAGATAATTGCAACAGCAATTCACAGGATTATTTAGTTTTTCAGAATGAATCTTAAAAAGCTGAAACAGTATCAGTCTTCTTCAAAGAAAAGAAAACACAGGGAACCTTAAGGATAAACAGCACCATATACAAACATTATGCTGTCAATCTTCCATATTCAATCTCATGCCTGACTGCACTAACAAAGAGAATGGAGAGCTGAATGCATAAGGGGAAACAGAGCTACCCACTCTTAGCTGATCAATTTGAAATCAGAAACTTAGCACAAAGCCAAAATAATTCTTGCTCGACAACCTTCCTGTTATATTCAGTCTGCAGTGACCAAATAGCCACATGACAAACAAACAAACAAACAAACAACCCCCAAAACACTCCATCCTTGATCCACGATTCTGACATCTCAGTTGGCAACTCCAGAATGACAAAGAGGCAAAACACAGCTTGCAGATGACCTCTACTCTCACTCACTTCCACAGCTACACCTTAAAAAAATTAAAACTAATCCTAAAGAAAAAATAAAAGTAAAGCTAGCAATGCAATGTCCTTACAACTCTTCCTGTTAAAACCAAAACAAGCTCAACATTAAAGTATCTACCTAGACTAGCTTTCAATCTAATGGACTGAGAAGACAGGTGTTAGTCCTTTTCTGCTATTCAGCTGCTGAAAAGAAAGTAAACAGGTATGCTATTTTTCACTAGAACTCACAGCTGCAATCCTGTGTCTGACTGCACACTGACGTGCCAGAAAACAGGATCTGCAGCTTCCACTATACTGATCTGCTTCGATTATGCTACAGGAAATGCTGAGGAGAAAAAAAAAAAAAAAAATTAAAAAAAAAAAAAATCTATTTTCTCAGCATGTGGCTCCATCAAGCAGTGAGATAGTTCAGGGATCTAAGCAGCAAGAAAAATTACACTTAAAACCCTAAATTAATAGTTTTTCTCTGTCTTAGCTCCCTTCAACATCTCACTGACCACGTTTAATGTCCTGCTCTTTCTCTTGAAAGAAAAGAGCTTGTTTCAGTACCTGTATCACCATGTATGGAATAGCATCTATCTTAAAGGTCAGCGAGGGGAGGAGTGTCTGTCACAAAACTGATAATTTTTTTTCACTAGTAGACACTTTAAGTCCAACAGATGCAGCAACTAACAATAAAAATAATATTGTAGTGGGAAAAGTTGATGAACCCCTGGTGAAACTTCAGGCATGTGTAACCATCCTGAAAGAAAAACTAAGTAGATTCTCATGACTGTTAAAAACACAGTGTTTATGTACAAAGTCTCAGGTGAGTGGTCCCTGAAACTCAGATATCAATGTTTGTGATGTAAACACACGGCTGTTTTCAAGTTTAGTGTTCAGAAAGATTTAATAAACATAGTATCAAACTGGATTTGTCAACTCATTCTTTATCTAGCTAATATATCACTTCTACAGTCCACTCTTTATGGACCTTGTCAATTGCCCAGAGCCACTTCTCTTCAGCACTCTGATGTTCAGAAGTACATTAAAGGCCCATCTATGCTGATCCTGCATACACCCAGGGTACCTCCAGCATGATTTATTAGCTTACTACTCCATGTCTGACTAACACACTAAAATCACAACAGTGACACATCATCATTTAAGAAGTATTGACTAAGCAATCAAAAGAGTTGCTCTTAGCACTTTAATCCTCTTAGTGAGTTATAAAGAAATAAAAATGTAATGCAGGTACCATGTACCAGTGCATGTACCAGTTCAATTACTTCCACTTTCAAACACACATTCAACAATCTTTTAACAGACATTGGTTGAACAAGAGTGGTGAATCAACTTGAGACATCAACTTGGTTTTTAGACTCCAAGATGTGTTTTCAGGACTAGCAGCTGTCAAAACCAACAATTTCCCTTATTTCTAAGCTAATTTAAGTTTCAGCTGAAAGTTATTTAAAAGGAAACCAAAGAAAAAATTTTCACAACAAAACCATATTTTAGAAGAGGAGGGGGGACCTCACCATGCTCTACAATTACTCGACAGGACATTGCAGAGAGGTTGGTGCTGGTCTCTTCTCACAGGGAATTAGGGACAGAACCAGGGGGAATGGTTGCAAGGTGCAACAGGGCAAGTTTAGGCTGGACATTAGAAGAAATTCTTCACAGAAAGAGTGGTCAGACGCTGGAACAGGCTGCCTAGGGAGGGGGTTGAGTTGCCATCCCTGGATGCGTTTAAGCATCGCTTAGGTGTGCTGTTCGGTGATCTGGTTTTCGGGTGAGCTTGTAGTGTAGGGTTAGTGGTTGGACTCGATGATCCCAAGGGTCCTTTCCAACCTGAGTTGTTCTACGATTCTATGACAATTAAGAACAGACTATATGGGGTTTTGTTTGCTAGGACATACTTTCCCCATCTCCATCCTTATCAAATTCTTCAATCATAGCCCGCAGCTCTTCATCAGACATATTTTCACCCAATTCTCTTGCAACCCGGCGTAGGTTTCTCAGACTTATTTTACCAGAGTCATCATCATCAAACAATTTGAATGCCTTGAGTATTTCTTCTTGTGGGTCTCTGTCCAATATCCAGTCTGTCACTGTAAGAAAGATACTTAAGTTAGACTAAAAAATTCTCAAGGGTAAACTCACAATTACCTTAGCAGATTGAGGCAATACAAAGAACATACACTTCCAGTTTCACCCATTCTTTCATTTTTATATGTTTCAATTCAACACACATATTTGTTTGGCTGTTATCTGATCCATCTTTCTCACCTCTGTTTTCCCAAGCTGAGTTTCTCTTTGGGACATAGCTATTACAGTCGAAAGCTACATGGCAATTTAGACACAGTCATGCTTCCAATACACTTTTAAATGAGAATTAAAAGTTTACACATCTCCTCTGTTCCAAACTTAGCTTTCAGAAAAAAACCACAACAGCTCTGACATATGAAGACGCGTGATTTTTTTTTTTATTTTATACATTTTGATCAAATTAGAATTTTGACTTGGAGAGAACCCTAAAACACTAAGTAATGAAAAACATCCACATGGAACCTCTTCTAGAAACAAAACCACACCACCAAAGAAAAAAAAATCAGAAATGCCCAAAAACCCCTAAATCATGGGGTTATGAAAAGGACACTGCAATGAACTGCAAGATACTAATTATGAAAGGATTCATCAGTCTTTAATCTTCCTTTTATCACAACCATTTTCCAGTTTCTGTAACTGAAAAGAAACATGCCACATGTAATATTTTTCAAGTAATTATTTCAGACCAACCAACCATAATATATCTTCACATCTTTGTACCCGCTAGTCTTGTATTAGGGGGTTTGCTGTTTATGACTTTCATCAAGTCATTAAAAACACACCAACTCCGCTTGTGCATAGAGAATCATTTAGCATCTGCTGCGGTCTGTAGATGGAACGCCTACTCTGCCTTACCAAACTCGCCAGGAAAAAATTAGTCTAAAGCTCATATAAGCTCACTACAGCAATGAAGCTTATATGTCTACATAAAACCCTCAAATTTATAACATGTTTAAATATTTACATTTTAAACAAGTACACTGCATGGCAGTATTGCATCACTTTGTGGCAAAAAGACAACTGTAGTCTTAGCTCAAAAACAATGAAACTCTAGGTCGCTAAATACTATAGGTAATATGATTCTACAAAACCAGACAAGATGTAATTGCATCTTTAGACATTTTAGATGGGCCATTCTACATTTAAAAGCATAAATAACATTAAATTATGAAAAGTCGATGGCTGAAGAACTGTTTAGCTATATTCAGTAGCTCTTCACAATCAATTCTTCTATGATCTATTTTCTCTGATTCTCCTATCTTTCTGCTAGAAGTGGTATCACGTTTAATTCTGTGTCAAGGTGATACTGCATCATAGCAGCACTCAAATCTGATCCAAGTTCTGGGACAGGTTCAATCGCCTTACAAATATATATTGTGCATTCTGCAAGAATCTTCCTAGTTTCTCACAGCAATAATTGACTGCCCATGTTGACAGCCAGGTCAGAAACATGAGAAAAAAAGAACTATGACAGGATTGAACATCAGGAATTAAAACTGAATCACACAGTAATTACAGTATATTCAATAATATAATACTATAGCATAATGATTTAATGATATTGCTCTTGTTGTCATTATTATTATTTCAGTGCTTATTTATTAAAAAAAAAAATAAATCAGGATTGATCATGTGTACTTCCCCCAAGGTTTTATTTCCGGTTCTTGCTGACTATTTATAACTTGCTCTAACCCTGGAATACAATTACAATAATATTATCTGTTATTAACAACACATTTTGTCCAGTCCTAACCTGTTAAGTCATTAAAAATTGCCACATTTGAATTAGTAACTATTTTGCCACAGTAGCCCATTGTTATTTGTAGTCAAGAGTAAGTTCGGAAGTATTACACTGGGTTGTTGTTCTCTTTTTAGAAAATTCGCAGAATACGTTGAACACATGGACTGGAATAATGAAGCAGAGATATAAAGCCATACGTGGAGAAACCCCATAGAGCTTATTTTTTCCAGTAAACACAAATTGTATGCAGAAGTATAAATTATGTGTAACAATCAAAAAAAAAACTTCAAATAAACTTTAATCTTTAAAAATTCTGCACATGGCTACATACTTATAAACATGTCAAACTGTGCACTACACAATCTTCAGATGAAAAAGCAGCCTAATGAAAGTCCACTGTTTTTATCAACAGTTGAAAAACTACAGTATGTAACATCTGCTTCAATTTCTCCTATCTTTGTTATATACGAAGTCTGTGTTCAGTTTACAGTTTGTCTGTATATACACTCATTTCCATGAAATTCAACACCAAATACTTTTTCCACAGCAGAAAGGAACGTCTTACAAAATCCATAAACCTAAGAATACCTAAGCCAGCATTTATTTTTTTGTTTAAGTTTGAAAAGGATTAGGACTTTGTATACTATTTTTCCTCATATATTGCAGCTATCATTCACCTCTACATATCAAACTGCGTATTCAGAATAAGAAGATTTATTTTCCTCCACTACTGACTTAAAAAAAAAAAAAAATATGAAATTTCCCACTTCTATTTCTTACAAGTACTAGATAACTGAAAAAGTACACAAAATACAGCTTCCAAACTGTAGTCACTATTATAGGCTAAATTTCTCTAAAGGTACAAAATCAAGCACGTACCAACTTCATTAAAATCTTCAAAGGTGATCTTGCCAGTCGCTTCTCGATCATAATCTTTAAGTATTTTCAGCACATCAGCTTTTTTCACATCAAAACCCAAGGCTCTCATCGCCACCTTTTGGGATAAAATGGAAGTGCAACCATATATGAATAAAATATGGATTTAACACATTTCTTTTTATTTTCAGTAATTACCTTCAGGCCCAAGAAAGAAGGTGCATATGAGTGATTTAACAACAATAACAAATAAAATCAATACAAGGAAAAAGGTTTTGAATATAAAAATTGCTTAAAGCCACTATTAGCAAATGGAAGATTGAGCTATCGTGGAAAAAACAGTCTTTGCATTTTCAGGCATTTTACAGGCTGGACCAAACGCTTCTTAGGACAAGCAGATTTACTTTCCTTTCTTCCAAAAGCATTTCAAGTACTGAACCTTTTCCAAAAATAAAACTGAAAATCATTTTTCAAATTATTCAGTGTTCTTACTAAGCATTTACACATATGTGTATAGTTTTTTTACAAGTCCTCTTACAAGTGACTTTACCGGTTTTCAAACCAACCTATTTTTTTATTTTTCCATTGGTTAGGAGTACGCATTTTGCTTCCCATTTCAACTGAGGTGGTAGTTTTCAGAACACACTAACTTGACTTCCTCCAAACTGATGAACATGCACTAAACCAGAAGTGGAAAATCACAGTCCTATTGTATGAAGACACTCAAAAATCTATAGCATATGCTTTGTTAAAGAGATAGTTGTTTTCTTTATGTATTTCTGTTCTTTCATCCTATTAACTTTAGGGCCACAATATTTAATTAGACAGCTAAAAAACAGCTTTGCAAGTAATAATGACAGCTGGGAATTTAAAGCACACCATAACTAGAAAAGATGTATTAACAGTCCTAAAACAGTCACCAGTACTACATCACTTATTGTAGCTTCCAACAAAGATAAAATACCTGAACACTGACATAAAGGGAATCACTACACCTAAGACATTTCCATAATAGCAATTAAAGTAAAAATAGGAGTTTTTTTCTTCACCCTCTATTTGAGTTACTTCCTAGAGCCAGAATGTGGATACAGCAGGTTGGATTAGGTATTTATTCACAACAGAATCTCACTCAACATGCTGACAGAAACACTGGCCTCTCCAAAGCCACTTTCCTTCTTGATGCAGTGTAATTAGAATAAAATTCATAAAATATTTAAAGAGACTTTAATAAACTTCATGTTCTACTTCTAGTGACTTCCAGATGGGAAGACTCCTCATAAAGACTACCATCCACGGAGGTGTTTGCCAATAGCTATCACCAAGAAAAGCCTTCATTGGGAAAGGCAACTACTGAGCCGCCCATAGCTCACACCCAGCACGTAGCATTCCGCTTTCCTGCTGTCCTTCAGCTCCCTCATGAAAAATGCAGGTGGGTAAGCTCTGACCGGTAGTCAACAGCTTTATAAATTTGATTTGCATCTTTTACCTAAGCATTTGGAACCTGTGGATTTTCACAACACCAAGCCTCAGATTAAACATTGCCTTCAAAAAAAATGAACAGCTTTTCAAGAGCTTTTCCCACTTAGTCATCTGTCCATGTTAAACCCCAGGAGCATTCAGACTAGTGTCATGCAGGATACTACAGCAATTCTGTTCCTGTGTCAAGGATATAGTTTGGAAAGTTCATTCTTACACCAACCCAGTATCTCCTTTTTTTTTTTTTATTTTAATATCCTCACTTCTTTGGTCCAGCAAGAGATCTTATACAGGGAACATTGTATAAGATACAATCAACATCTTAAAGAGTCACTAACAAACACATATATATATAATCTGCCATAAAATTCTTCAAATGAAAAAACTTTTACCTTTAACTCGTGATAATTTATTGCTCTATCTTTGTCTGTATCAAACAACTCAAAGGCATCTTTAATTTCTTGCTTCTGTTCCTCAGTCAGTTCTCTCTTTTTCTTCTTTTTAGTTCTGTCTGCTGAAAGTTCATTCCTATATAAGAAAAAAAAAAAGTGTAATTGATTTGTACTGGGAAGATATCACTGTAGACAACATTTTCCACCAATAAGAAACTCACAGTAATCGCAATGGCCATCACCTTCTCTATTAAATCTTTTACCAGCTTGTTCCCTCAGTCTAAAGTTAACACCTGAAATAGACAATTCTCCTTGTTCCTTGCTCTCTCTCCAAAATAAAATCAGGACACAGATTTTGGCTAATAACAACAATAAAAAAGTAGAAAACATACTAGTTGAAAAGAATATTTGAGGTTACAAACTTGATTAGCAGTTGAAATGACCCATCTCCTGAAAACATTATTTCTAAATTATATCTTGGAAGAACGAATTTTTAGACAGACAGGTGGCTGGAGACTTAAGTAGGCCAGACAATTGGCTTGTCTGGCTAATAAAGCGGGCATTAGATGCCACAAATCAGCTTTGCTCCTTTAAATCACACACATATGTTGTTCTACAGACTTTTTGCTCTGTTTTGGTATACACAAGAGGTAAGGGCCCTAAACCAGCAGTTCTGGCTTAAAGACAGCGCTTTTTGCCTTGGCTAGTTTTGAAATAAGGTTAAATTTTCAGACAACAGAGAAAATACATTATTCATATGTTGAGAACAACAGTTGAAAAAACTGAAAAGGATGGTCCTGATAAAAGATACTTCAGACCAACTTAGTCAAGGATAAATTCTGCTTTAACTGTGCTTTATTCACATCAATGAGATCGACTGCTGTATCCAGAGTAATTGCTTGGAAGGTGTCCATTTCAGAGAAATAACTCTAAAAAAAATAAAGTACATTTGAGATAACAGGTGGTATCAACTGAGACTGTAATAGTACCCAAGGCACACTCTTGGTGGAAGTGGGCACGTGCGAAGCTCAGCAGCCCAACGGTGCTGTGATGAGTGTGGCTCATTGCAGTGGTAAATCCCCTGGTCTGTGATCAGGAGGCCACATCAGATGTGCTGCGTCCAGTTGTGGGCACCTCAGTAGAAGAAAGATGTAGAGAAAACGGATAAAGCCTAAGGCTGGCCACCACGCCTGGTGGCTGCAGCACACAGCGCATGAGAAGCTGAGTTTGTTCAAACCAGGGTGAGTAAGGCAGAGGTGAGGAAGGGCTAAGGAGAGGGGATCTAGTGCTGTCCTTCTCTTAGAGATTTCCCTCAGAGGAGCACACTGAAAGGACAAGAGGTAACAAGCACAAAACACAAGAGGAGAAACTGCATCTGGATCCAAATGGAAATATTTTACCAGCATAAGTGTTTACGTTCCGCGACAGTTGCACTGGGAGACTGAGGAGTCTCCACCATCAGAAACTTTTGGAACCTGACTAGGAAAGGTGCTCGGCAACCTGATTCAGTTTTGAGTGAGGCTTGCTCTGAGCAGACAACTCGATTAGGTCACTCCCAGAAGTCCTTTCTGATCACAACAGAAAAAGGCTTTTTACAGTCAGTTGTTTATTTACACCAGAAGCAAAATGCATGCTGTGTCACGTACCATAAAATGCTTAAAAATTACTGACAAGTAAACATAAAACTGCTTTTCAAGGATATTTATTTTCCACTTCAGTAATGAGATGCTCTTTCTTCTCCTTTGTTAAGGATTTGCTAATTTTAACCAAAACCAAAGATGAAGCACACAACAGGGATTTAGCTTTCAACAGCCACTGAAGCTACACCAGTAAAAATTCCAAATATAGGCAAGGAAAGTGCAAGCTGAACAAGCTGGACCTCCCTCACACCACGATACCTTCTAGGAGCGAGAAGTACTTAGCAGACCAATTGGGACAGCATGATTTCACAAGGGCTTTGGATTACTGTAGCTTTTGGCAGGACCAAAATAACTCTGCACTGTCTACATAATTAGGACTAGGGGAGTAGCTCAAATCTAGAAATCACATTCCGCAAGCTGCAAGGATGAAATCCATTTAGAAGCCTGAAAGCAGATTAACACCAAACTCTTCTGGAAGAAGGATCTAGCTACACAAGTGCTTATTTAATTCTTAGTATAATTTATTTTTTTTAAAAAAGATGTGGCAGTAATGAAATGTTAGCAGTTCAGCACTTCTGCTGTGTGAAGCATGAAGTTTCTCAGACTTGAAAATTAATTATCAGACATGCCATGCAAGCATACTAAATAAAAAAAGGAAAGTGCGGGTTGGCCGGGTATAGAGAACACAAACCGAGACCCTGTATACCTGTTACCGAACAAAAATTATTTTAAAAAAAAGGAAAGAAAAAAAAAAACACAGCAACTAAAAAAGGCTGTGAACAGCCTAACTTAATGCCTGTTAAGCAGCTCTCTGAGGGCACATTACTCAGGCGACCCAGACGTGAACCCCTCACAGGCAGACGGGCCCGGCCCGCTCCCCTCCC